AAACGAGACGAAAGCATTGGCGGTCCAAGCGCTGGCTCGGCCCATTCCTCGTCCTCCTGGTGACGGACACTGCCGTTAAGGTCGCGGAGAGGACAACTTGGAGCCACGCCAACCACTGTCGTGCGGTGCTGCCACTGAGGGCCATAGACGAGGACACCGAGGGCGCGGACGGACCAGGCCCATCCGCGGCTCCCTACGCTGAAGAGGTCGGCCGGCGTGCGACCACCGTCGGTGAAGCAGGCCAACAACAACACCCAGAGAATCCCAGCGTTCCCGAGGCGACCCCCCTTTGCCCAACTCCCCAGCCCCCGGACCCCAAGGCCTGGGAGCCATGAAGGCCCTGAGCGCTCTGCTCAGCTGCAGCAAGTATGCGGAGCTGCTGCTCATTCCAAAGATTTCTCCAGAGCCTGCTCCCTCTGGCCATAATGCAGATTTGAGCTCTGCTGGAGTGCCCCCTGGTGTCTCGTCTCCCGTGTGTCCGGAGGAGGTGGAGATGAGGGCTGCTCTACAGTTCCTGATGAGGCACATGGTGAAGCGTGCTGTCATGAGGTCTCCCATCAAACGAGCTTTGGGCCTGGCCGATCTGGAGCGTGCTCAAGCCATGGTCTCCACACCCCAAACCCCGAGCACTCTGCCCAACCGAGTGCTGAGGCCAAGGCTTCAACGCAATTAGAGTCTTGCCGCTCCAAGACCAAACATCGCCATGACCACTAACGCTCCACACACGCTCATAGGGAGCGGTGCCACTGACTGCGAGACGGCACTGTTCGTGAGTATTCCCGCGGAAAAGACTACCGAATGTAGCCCGGCTAAGACCGGCATGGGCCCCTGGACTGTTATGCTGGCCACACTGACACTACTTTCCGGGCTGACTGTGTTTATTATGTTAATATTGTCTTCCTCTGAAACTCAAAACCCTGTGATTCAAGAATCTTGGTTTAGCCCTATTGATGTCGGACACACTGTCCGCACTCTTATCGCTGTCCGGATCCATGGTGTTATTATAATGTGCACTTTCTTTTATTGACAAGCATGTTTTTTTTCTTGTCCACTTTGGACAGCAATAATTTAAGTGTTTCAAGCTTGAAGGTGATGTGATTACGATGCCTCTGGTATTTAACTGATTAATGCAAAAATGGTTTTGAATTATCAAAAGAGGGGAGTGTTATGACAGTTTTTAGAGTAATCACATTAAAACCAGCCGCAGCAAATACACGGACGTAAAAGGTCTTTTCAATGCAGAGACTACCTTCTGACGCCATGCTGAGCTTTGTGAAGGTCCCTGCTGTCTGTCACACCCTTGTGTCTTTCGCATCTGTATGTGTGCATTTTCTACCATTGTCTGTCTGTTCACACCCCCATGCCACTGTCACCACAGGGGATGGCGCCGGCGCTTCCTGTGCGCCTCCTCACCGGTGGCCCCCTCCCATCTGTTGTGGGCGTGACTGTCTTTCGTGTGTGTCTTGTATACAGGAAACTCGGAGCTCTGGGGTCAGAGCTGGTACATGCTGCCTTTGTGTGTATGTGCTGGCTCTCCGCACGTGTGTTAACAATAAACTTACGCTTTTGATCAGACAAAGGACCTTTGAGTTTTCTCCTTCATGGGGTATATAATTCTACGACACTTCCAAGACTCCCTCGTGGGTCCATATTGAGTCAGGTGGCTCCGGGAAAACCTCTTTATCTGCATTGTTAAGTTCAGCACTCCCTTTAGAATTACATCAGTACAAACAAAACCCTTTACTGTATCACTCTCTTCGACTCTGGGTTCAATGCAGAAAGAAATTCGGCTTCCATGCCATGTCAATTAAAGCACCCTTGTGCTCGAATCACATGTTTCCACCGTCGCTTGGTGATTCTGTATTTAAAATTTGGAAGGATAAGGGAGTGCGCACATTTAAGGACCTTTTTATCAATGGGATTTTTGCTTCGTTTGAACAGTTAACTGAAATATATAGTATTCCCCGGACGCATTTTTTTAGATATTTACAGGTTCGCCATTTCATAAACAGTAGATACCCCTCCTTTCCAAATATGCCAACCACAACCACCCTGGACGACATTTTAGATGTAAATGTTCATAAAAAAGGCGCTATCAAAGATATTTATACAACTCTCTTACACTTACAATCACCATCTCTTGCATTAATAAGATCTCATTGGGAACAGGATTTATCATTGACCATAACGGATGACCTCTGGGAGGCGATGCTACAGAAAGTACATTCCTCCTCAATATGTGCAAGACATGGCCTTCTTCAATTCAAGGTCATTCATCGGTTACATATTTCTAAAGACAAGTTAGCCAAATTCTATCCAGGTACTGATCCATCTTGCAATCGTTGTAGATCCGATACCGGTACACTTATACATACATTCTGGCTATGTCCTAACTTGGCCAGTTATTGGACATCAATATTCCACACGCTGTCAGAGGCGTATAACGTTAAACTTGCCCCCGATGCATTAACTGCACTCTTTGGCGTGTTGCCTCAAAACATAGTTTCTAAACTGTGCTCTCATGCAATTGCTTTTGCAACTTTGATGGCCAGGCGCCTTATTCTTTTAAGGTGGAAAAAGGAGGACCCACCCACACATGAACATTGGATAAATGATCTCATGAGCATTTTGCATATTGAGAGGATGAGGTGTACGTTATTGGGCTCAATTACAAAATTTACCGAAACATGGCAGCCATTTCTGGATTACATAGGAAACTATAGAATGCATAACATTCCAAAATAAGCATACATGTATGTCAGAAATGGTTATCTGTGCGTTACATGATCTTTCAAGTGTATCCGTTGCCAGTACTATTGTTTTGCAGTTTGTTGTCGCTAGTATATAGATATGTTGTCTTTTATTCATTTTTATTTCATTTTATAATTATTATTTTATACTTTTTTTTTTTTTTTTTTTTTTGTCTGTTGGGGTTTTGGTTTGGGGAAAAAAAAAAAAAAAAAAAAAAAGTGCCAAGGTTATATGGTCAATGTTATTTGTAACTTTATTGTAATTTTGTATAACCTTTAAATAAAATTAAAAAAAAAAAAAAAAAAAAATAGCAATAATATTGAATTGTGGCCCAAATATCGCAATAGTATCTAATGTCACATTCATATTGGAAAACCTTAATTGCAATTCTTTGGCAAGTCGTTGTGTGATTAAAGCTACAGGGTTTTTTATAATTTTCTGCAGATTTTTTTTTAAAGACGATAAAAGAAATGTCTCCCTTGGAAGGAGAAAATAAAGCAGTCTTAGTCTTGAAATGAGACCAAAGGACTTTTCCCATTGACAAATTGTGTCAGAATGTGCTCAAATTAAGAAAAAAACTTGATTCCAGCAATTATTAACTTGTAATTTATACTTTTTTTGCTGTGGAATTGTATACATGTTAAAATAAAAAGTCCTCCTCTCACCAGAGCTGGAGACCTGCCAGGGCTGCAGCTGCTCTGATGTGATCACACCGTCTTCACAGGAACATTCATTCAGACAGGATTTATCGGAGCCTTTATTTCACTCGCACTGCAGTTTTCACGTGTTTTATAGTTACACGCAGCAGCTCGAGATGTATCAGTAACAGCACGAGTCAGAATAGATATATTTGGACGCAGTGTGTTAGCTTCTGTTGCCTAAACTTTTCCAAGTTTTCTACAAACTGAGTCATGAATTTAATGTGAAAAGCAGATTTATGAAAAACGCACATAATCAGAATCAGAATCATAATCTTATCCAACTCGAATACTGTATTCAGCAGATACAGTCGTTTCTCTCATTCAGTTTGTAAAGGAACTAGCGGCGCAAATTCTGTTTCCTTATATTATTTACTTATGGTCCTGTTGAACCAGTGTCTCACAACCCTGCGCCAATAAACTTTGTCACAGTAAAAATGATTGTAACCAGTTCTCTACATAGTCCCAAACTTTGATCATTTATAATAAACTTGACTCACCCCAGCTGGACAAAGCTGAGAATGTTGGATATAGTTATTTATATTCATTAGTTTGAATTGCTGCACATACGTATGCACTGTGATTACACATAGCACCTCATTTCTAATTTGCATCAAAAAGATGTATATTTACAGTAAGAAAGACAGCCAGTATCCTCATGAAGCGTATCGGAATTGAGTAGAGTAGAAATTGAATCAAGTAGAAATGCATTCCATATATTTTGTTTGTTCTGTTTATCCAATTAATCAATCCAATAACAGGCAGATGACTCGATTATCAAATTAGACATTAGTTGTGGTCCTACTTTGTTGTTTACTCATCACTATTTGTTATTATTTCAAAGAATGATCAGAATTGTGTGAGCATGTGTCCTGACATAAATGTACTCCTTACTTTTTCATTTTAATCAAGGATGATTTAATTTCTAATGTAGAGTCATAATATACTTAATCACTTATCTTGAGCTGTGTGCTCCTCATTCCTGCTGTTCTTTAACTTGTGATGCAGCACTTTATTTCCCTTACACTTAACACTACATTTTAGGATTATTGTTTATGTAGCCCTTAGTAAGGGCGACAGTAGCTCAGTTGGTAGAGCATTGGCCTTCAGGCCTGAAGGTTGTGGGTTCAATTCCCACCTCTACACCTTCTCCACCGACTCCCACTGATGACTGCTGTCGTTGTGTTCTTGGGCAAGACACTTAACCCCACTTAATCAGCAAAAACATGCCAGACAAATAATAATATAACAACTGATAATTGAAAAATGATAACACCAACTGATAGAAACTTTTATCAAGTTTTGCCTATGTCTGTGAAGTTGCATTTGACACAGACGTTTGTTGATTTTGCCGAGTTCAAACGAAAACGCTTCTCACAAATAGTCTTTCAAAATCTTTCATCTCCATCCGTGTGTGCTGATCTCCACCCATGTGTGCCGACCCAGTCCATATGTTCCCTGTATTTAAAAGTGTCTCTATCAAGCCATCTGTCGGCCATTTTCCCAAACCTCAAAGCGCATATATATACCTATACATAGAACCATTTTCTATTACTCTGCCAGCAAAAAACACTTCACTGTTTTGTCGTAAAGGCACCCAAAGCTTTGAGGTTGGGGAGTCATTGTGCGCAGAGGTTGATCGGGCTGACAGGGAACACCCGGAGCGACAGGTGAAGAGATGGCAGCTCTTTTCAGCTCTGATTGGCTTCCAGGTGACTCAGTCAAACAGCAGCGGCGGAGAGCTCTGAGCGGCCAGTGAGCTTTCAACCTTAAGAAATTAGAGAGTTTGATGTTGAGAAAAGGCTATTCTTAGATGCTCCAATGTTCTAATAGTAATAATGTGTTGGCCAATTGTGGCACAACTGAAACCAAATGCAAATGTACATGAGGCATGGCATGAGATTTGATGCAAAACACAGATGCTAACCACCTGCAAAAGGTTAATGTTTCTAACCTTATGTTTTTAAAGACTACATTTTTATTGAATTTTCATGTGTTAAAATGCCCTAGTCAAAGTCTAGACCTAAAATCTGGAAATAATTGGAAACTGCAGTTCACAAACACTCTCCATCTAAAATGACAGACCTTGAGATGTTTTGTGAAGACGAATGGGCAAAACTTCCATTCTCTAGATGTGCAAAGCTTGTAGTCACACCCCAAAAGACTTTTCAGGTTGTAAAACGCTACAATGAAGTTGCTTTCTTTTCAGTTTTGACGGTTGCTTTGCTGCGATCTTTGTTTATGGTTGTAAACATCAAGCTTTATTGGCATTTTTGCAACCCACCAAATTATGTAGAAACAGAATATTGTTGTGATATTATATTGAACACGTCCACAGACTAAAAACTAAACGTGGGAACCAAAAAGCTAGTGCTATGCTGCTGAATCATCTGCGTACACAATATAGATGACATATGTACAACGAAACATGGTCCACAAGACATGGTCCAAAGTTTGGTTTCCTTAACAACAATAATAACTAAATGCAACCTGATACCGACACAGCGAAACTTTCTGGAGCCTCAAACGAGCATGCTCAGTGAACAGTAGCACATTCATAACAGCAGCCTCAAACGGGTGGTCCTCTGTCAGAAGTGCAGTGCATCAAAAAGCTTACGTTTGTGAAAAGAAAATGCATAATAAAGAAGTGTGCTAACATGTTGTCTGGCACCGCCTGGCTAACTCCATTTAGATAGAGCTGCACAATATTGGAGGATGCAGTATGCGATCGTGTTGTCAAGAATTGCAACTTGTATGAAACAGATGCACTGTTGTTTCTAAAATGAATGAACTTTCAGTCACAACAGTTGTAAATAATTTATATTTACTTAAGTAAAACATAAAGATTTGAGCAAAATCTCTGGTGTGAGATCTTTGCATCACCCCCTGCAGGACACTGTCTTCTACACCTGACCCAGACCTATATACTCTCAAGGTGTGAAGGAGAGAATCTGCAGGGCTTTCCTTTCTGTTGCTGTCAGACTGTAAAATGAGAACTGCTGAGTCAGTAAATGTAATTCATCTGTAAATAGTAAATACTGCAATCATGTGTAATGTGCGATACTGCAATTTCAGAATGTCCACCAAATGCCACTATCTACTAATCATCCTTCCATATATGTATATACTTTAGATAGATAGATAGAATAATAGCATATGATATGGATTATCATATTGATGATATTTTTTTCCATAAATCATGTAGCCTTAACTTTACTCACACACAGACCTACTTCTTTGAAAGAATCATGACACAGAGATATATCCTACCGCGGTTCCAAATGTATAGAGCAGTTTCTGATAAACCCATCCATCCATTTTCTTCCTCTTAATCCACTGCTGGGTTGTGGAGAGAGCAGTTCAAGCAGAAAGGTCCAGACGCTTAACCATTATCTCTTTCTTATTAGAGAACAAAGTAAGCCCTTTAAAGTACGCATATACAATGATGACATGTCATTTGATCAATCAAATTTGAATTATTCAGTGCCATGATATATAATTCTCTTCCATCCTTTGAGGAGATACTTTGAAAGGGTGAAAGCTTCTGAAAGATTGAGATCCATGGTTTTCAAACTTCTCACATATAATGCGCACATATGAAAAGTTGTGCATTTTTCAGCACGTCTGAAAGACTTATTCCTGAGATAAAGTACATGGAGCAGAGTGAGGATCTTCACTTTTGAGCAGAGTGGGTGGTACCTGTCTGTAGTGAGACTGTGCTGGCTTCTGTCTGCAGAGTAGGTGTTGTCATCAGTCCTTTGTCCATCACCGGCCGACAGGCTTTGTCTGATCTGTCAATACAGCAAGAACAAACAGGCCCTGAATTTCAACAGCTGCTGTTGCCATGTTCTACTGATTATATCAGGATTAGTACTAAATAAAACATGTACACAGTCAACATATGACTGTTGTAAGTGTACTGTTATCATAGACATCGAAGGAGTAGACATCCAGATGCACCGATACAATACTATCATCGGATACTGGTGTTGGATCGGCTATTGGTTTGATGATATTGGTCCAGGCAATATCTTGTAGTCCTTTATTTTGATGTCATAACATATAAGTCTGTTTTTCCCAGAATGGCATATACAGTCTGTTTACAATTTACAAAGATTTTAGTTACTAACAGGATCAACTGGAAGATGTTTCAATCAACAGGTTAAAACTCAAATGTACCAGTTTGTAATTCAATTTGTCTTTAGTTTCAGTGTAATTTAAACAGAACGAGCAGAAGACGGCAATATCAAGCACCAGCAGCCTGGACTTACATGTGTGTCACCTTGAGCCACGTGATGTATATTTCTAATAATGAATAACCTTACTGCTTAAATTATTTAGAACAAAGCATTATGAAAATAAGTGTATATCGTGCATGATGAATGGTCACATGAACATTACACAATCGCTGTTTATAATTATCACGAATGATTTACTATTCATTCTAATATTTCCTCTCATCACCTTCGCTTTAATTTGTTGAATTAGCATTTTGCAGATGCATCTATAGATAAAGTTGGCTTTACAAAAGTGACAGTGGGTGGCACCGATGTAGCTCGAGCTCTGGGTTGCACCCTGTCTCTTTAAGGTTTTAAGAGTTTTATATGTGCCTCACTGTGTCTTGCCTCCCTATCTTTATTCATTTTGTTGTGCGTTTGCTTTGTGATGTTGGTACCCCCGGTGTATCCTGTGTGTTTTCAAATGTAGTGTACTCTGTAAAGGGCAATACATTGATTCTAATTCTGAAATGCGGTGCGAGCAGCTCGATCTGCCTTCAACTGACATGCTTGCACTAGAACATTTTATTTAGAAGTATCCCATTATAATGCAATTCCCTCTGGTCCTGTACAGAGTGACGCCTCCTCCTTAACCTGCCTTTCATCGCGTTCAAACGGTTGGACGGGTCAAATCTGCATTTGAACACAGGTCCAAAAACGTGGGTCTGCAGTGTGTGTGCAAATGTCTAATAAGAGCCTGAGAGGGATGGAGAAAAACTGCATCCATTAGCACTTCTCTATTTGGCTTCATTGAGCTAGGGGTTTAGCATTGTCCATGTCTATACAGTCTGTGGTATACTCTCAAATGTACAATTTACAATAGGAGATGGACTGTGAACCGTGTTGGGAGGATGATTTATTGCTGTATAATAAATGTCCACATTAGAAAGTGGAGGATACCAGGCTGACACATGCTCCACATACCACCACTGCCAAGGCCACAGTCTGAGTGCTAACCATAGATCTACAGTCAAAACACTATTCACTTTCAAAGGCTTTGAATATGAAGAAAGCTCCATTAAATGAAAAGTCTGGTTCATCATTTCAACATTTGTGTAGTAAGTAATGTCTGGATGTAACTGGAAATAATGTATCTTAAATTGGCTATATCATTGAAACGTAACATTGTCAATAACTGAACTGGACTCAAAAGTAAAAAAATAAATTAAAAAAGATGGTTGAGGACCAATTTTTCAGCATACTTCAAGTTTTAGTAGCTATTGTCAAAATAGACTGGTGAACGAGTGCCGGCATGGAAGCTAATGGTTACACTGTTGTTCACCTCGTCATTAAATCAAGTCGTGACCAGTTAAAACAGTAGTTTATCCTCTACATGACAACACGAAAACATGCAGCTTACAGTATATTCAAGTGTGGCCTATACTGTATGTGGACATGTACTTACTTAAAATGTGTTGCTGGTGCGGCTTATATACCGGTGCGCTTAATAGTCAAGGAAGTACGGTACAATGAGTAAAACCCAACAGCTCTGGTAATCCTGAGTCTACCTTAAACTTACTTAACAGATTTTTTACCCCTTAAACTAAATATACTGTTGTTTTATTGATTCTATTTACTGAAACTTTTTTATTTTATTTGTTACACCATTCTGTACCTGCATCTGCATTTATTTGACAACCGCTGCTGCTACTTGTGTTATGTTATTTTTGAGCACCCTCTTGAACCAATGACGCATGATGACCATGACGCATCAAGATCTCAACCAAGATGACGCATCCTCGTATCAAAGACATTTTACAATAATATACAGATAATTCGTTGGCACAAACTTTCATTACTGAATCTGCTGCCAGGTCATTTTCCAAAACATTAATTGGACCAATTTCTTGCTCTAATCCTTTTTGACCAGCATCAGAATTGTCCACGTACAAAGTATCTATTAATGAAGTATGTCAAAGAATTAAACTATTTGGTTTGCCCCGGGAAACGGCCCAGCGTGTACTTTACCCCTTTTTAGAGAACATAACAGACTGTATAAAGAAATGCTGTTAACTTCAGTTCATTGTTCAGTCTTTCAGTCTAATCATTTTCCAAATAAATTGTCAGTACATGCTTGGAAAGCCGTGTGGTAATGAAAACAGCATGTAGAGCGTTCATGTTGGCGTGTGACTACATACAGATGATCATAGAGATGATTGAATGGTTAACACGATGATAAACAGACACAGCTTCATCTGGAGCACGGTAATTGGACAAATCGTGTGAAGTCATTATGTTGAAATGATTGACGATTATGTTTTTTGCTACAAGTTTTCACAACATCTTGACAACACAATATATCAAACTTTCACTGAGTCACACGTTTGTTGGGGTATCTTTGGTATAATAGCCAGTTATGAGTTTCTAAACCCATTTCTATTGGTGTTCCATTGTTGTGGTATGAGATATTATAGGTCCATTCACTGATTTTCTATTCAAATCTGTAATTTAAAGTCATTGTTCATGGTTTTGATGGATTTCAGAAAACGTTCTACATTCTAAAGTCTGATTTATGTTCTGTTTTTAACCCTTACCCTCTTTCCCTTCCATCACATTGATATGTAAAATAATAATACTGAAATGCTTTAATCTTTGAGCTTGAGGAATTTGCAGAACATTTCTCAACCTCACATGTTTCAACAGGACTTCAAATATGAAAAATATCTGGATTGGATTGAGTAAACAGGTGGAAAGAGGGAAAGTTACACTGGCATTTTCTGAGCTCTGAGGCCCAATGCATTCCTCAAACGTACAAGAATCAATGGATAAAAAACTTAGGTTGATCTTATGACGTAGATTACTTTTCTTACAAATCTAAGGATCTATTTAAACAAACTCATCTCTTTCTCCAACACAATCTGACATTTGCTCTGCGCCAGTATTCGCTGTAACTCTACTCCTCCAAAGTTGCCTTGACAACTCCCCTCTCCACTCCACTATTGCTGAACATGCTGTTTCTCTCTTCGCTAAAACACAAGCGACCACCTTCCAACACTTCCTTTTCCTCCCCACACAATGCCCCTGCGCCGCTCCGAGTTTATTTAAAAAAAAACCCTTGTCTGCGAGTTTATACAGTGACAACCCCCTTAACATTCCGCACACTGATTCTCAAAAAAACTCAAGTCGACCACAAGCCAGCTTCCACTTACCAGCTTCTCCAGTCTCAGTCTCAATTACAAGAATTTGGAAGCGACCATCATGTGAAAGCAGTTACAGACAGTGTTGTTTTCTGCAGTTGGATTTTGGCCCCAGTGTTGTTGCTGTTGGTGGCTCGCCCTCCCACTATTCTCTCCGTGGTGGAAATAGCCCTCAGCTGTTGCAGTGGTGGTGGTGGGGTAAGAAGGGAAGGGCTATTCGGAGCGTCCCACACGGATCTATCAGTGATCTGCAGCTGTCTGGACCCAGATAGGCCCACAGGAAACAGGAAGCGGGACGGCCCCCTCTGCCACGAGAGGAATGAGGGCCGTGGGGACAGGGAAATTGAATTATGTTGCTCTAGGAGGAAGCAAGAAGATATAGGTTGGGTGGGACGTGCGTGAATGACAGATATTTGAAAGTTTTTCAAATGCTTTTGCTTGGACTAGATTTTCAAGTTTGGTGTCATCTTAAAGACAATAATAATGCTTTTATTTGCGATTGAGTTATAGATTGGTTGTTGTCTTTATTTTGAATTATTGACAACCTCAATAAACCTTTACCTTTGCCATTACCAACAAAAATCTATACATACTGTATATTTGAAAATCTCAATGGAATATGATCTACTTTGAAGCCAAACATTGAAGCAATATCACTTGGGTTTGTGGAGTTATTTGAACATGAAAAATCCCTACTATTTTAAATATTCTACAAGTTTACGACCATTCAAAAGTGCAAGCTTAGCAAGTTGGTGTTTAAAGTTCTAGGTACCTAACTTTTTGTCTTATTTATAACCATAATAATAGAAATAGTTAAAATGGATTTGAATACAATTCGGTTATTGGGGCTTCAAAGATACCCCAAATTAAAGTTCTGTTTTACTTTTTGCCAATGGTGTTTTTTGCCAATAGAGTTTTGCCAATGGTGTTTTTGCCAATGGTGTTTCCAATAATAATGTTTACCTTTTAAGTTAGAGTGCATACAGTATATAGTTAGCTGTACATAGTTATATAGTTAGCTTCTCTATATCTTAAAGGCCACTCACCAGCATCAGCACTCTCTAAATCCTGCCTGGGGGCTTCTCTGTCCTGCTGAAGACGATACATTTTTACTTAGCGCTTATATTTCAAGCCTCATTGAATTGTGATAATTACAAGCCCGCTGTCGGCGCCTTGGATCTGGCCTTTCGAAAAGCCGAGCGGAGCGTCAGTCGGGTCGATATGGATCTTTGCTCGAGGGCCACTTTGCTCGGCGCTCTACTGAAGTTCAGCGCTCCTGTGTATATTCTCTCGACATGAAAATTGCAAAACACTACACCACAAACACATGATTTTCAAATAGCCTTTCGTTTGTGTGTGATTCATTGGATGGTTTTATTCTGCTGCGTTTGGCTTTCGTGGGCAGCCTCTTTGAGGTATAGTGACTTCTGTCTGTTTGGCGATGATGGAGCCGCCAGGGTTGGAGAAAAGGTCACTAGACTTTAATCCAGAGGCGCCCAGTGGTGATAAGAGCAAGAGTTTCTTCAGGGCAAAGTTTCGTGATTTGAAATTAACCATAAACCTAATATTATGCTTCTATCAAACTTACTCCTGGACATCTTACTATTTCACTTACTATTCACACCGAGTTTGAGGGAAGCCTTTTGTAAAACTGACTCAAAAACAGAGCTCTATTCTATTCTATTCAGGGACTATATAAAACAAATGTGGTGTAACTTCATAGATATGAATAGGACAACACGGACAGACACAAACGGACTCAGCAACAATTTTCTCTTCAAAAAGTCCTTCTGAATGAGTATTCCATATTGAAACTGAATCTGTATATTCTCCCATTAACTCCATTGTTTTGCCTAAAGTTAAACTGCACTTGCTCTCACTCCACAGATTGTTGCGGGCCTCTCTCTTAACACTAGGAGCGCCCCTAGCGGTCAACTGACCGTCACTCACTTTAATATGCTAATTAGTGTATTCAAAACAAAACGCCAGAAGTTGAAATTTTATGACTTTTACTGGGTACTTGTTGTTTATATTTTGCGGAGCGGAGATGTCCCAGGACCAGCTAATATTCCCATAACTTGCCAATATATATTTTTCTATTCCACAAACTAGTTACATTTGAGTTATTATTTCATGTTTTATATAAATAAAAATAGCCTCATTGGTTAAAATGTGGGTTGAATTTGTTTTTGTATTTTTGCCCATCCAGAACAAAAAACTCACAAGGGTGCAGCTAATATACTTCAGTTACATGCACAACTAGACAGTCCCAGAAACTTTATCACATTTTCGGGAAGCCCAGATAACCATATATGTATCCACGCCCTCTCAAGGAATGGTGTAGTGGGAATGGTTGTCGTGACATAGGGACCCGTGTCAACCTTTTTCTCCACAGGGATTACAGAGTTGTGTCAAAATAAAGGGGTCAAAACCAACTTCAGAAAAGCAAAATAAGTCTTTTAAAGTCACAGCACAGTTCACCCAAGAAAGAGGGAAATGCAAAGATAAAGTAATTTTTATCCATGTGGAGCAATATCCACAATTTTATACATTTGTCAAAGAACAAGTTGATAAAGAAAAAAACAGCTCGTGCAAAAGCCCAAACTTTGATGAGCTTCACTCTTGTTACACAGCTTGTTACGCTGTCATAACGGAGCGGATTGACCCTTGTGGGACATATATAATGTGGTTTTATCACTGTTATATTCGGACGGAGTGTTAAACTAAACCCGCCACAACAAGAAGACTGGATCACCCGTGTGTAAGTGGATTACACTTTCGATGCTCAACACAAGGATCCAAAAAAAGTGATACAATTTGGCAAAATGTGTGATAATTTGAGCACACACTGACTGTCTTAAACTGCCTGACAAACAAAATGATCTTGTGTTTAAAACATATGAGAAATGTCTCCCTTGGAATGAGAAAATAATGTAACAAAACTTGAAATAAGGACTAAATGTCTTTGTCTTCATTTTTTATATTTAGTACAGTATTCTATTTGGCTGATATTCCTGTTTTGTTCTGTTTTTAAGACTGTCAGAATGTACACACATTAATATAAAAACCACTTGATTCAAGCAATTATTAACTCATATTTTATCATTTTTTTGCAGTGTGAGTTTGAATACCATTTGCAACAGGGCCTTTTTGAGTGGAGTTTGCATGCTTTCCACATGTTTGCTCCACTTTCCCCCAGGGGTTCCAGTTTCCCCTACCATTAAAAACATGAACAATAACTCCCCCCTCTCTCTCTGGACCAGGATTTTTATCCTTAGATCAGTTTTAGGACAAAACCCCTGTGTAAATCAGACTCAACTAAAGCGGAGGCTGGTGGATGTATTTTTTCTTTCACCTTGTATTCAAACAGACACATCTTGTTACACTTTGGACTGCTGACTTCTTCTCCCATTTAACTATGCTTAATCCCATCTCCGCTCTACCACTGAGACGTCACATTCCTTCTTCCAATCTGACAAACATCCACTCCAGCAGCCTTTTAGATATCCTCAAACATTAGCGCTGTCACAACCCAGCCTGTTAATGCCCCTAAATGCGACGCTTGACTTTTTTTTCTTTCCTCTTAAAGACTTCATCACATTTAGGTCAAAGCGTTAAATCCGCTGAAATGACTCTATTTAAATATTGGCAGGGCGCTCTTTCCGTATTTCACCGCTAATGTGACAGCGGCGCGAGAGCAGCCTGATTAAATACGTGCATTTACGGCCGACTGTCTTAAACGTGGAGGGCCGGGGCATAAAGCACAGCCGTAAAAAGCTGACAGGGCTGGGGTAAAGGGAGGGGAAAAAAAGGAAAAAAAGCGGCGACTCCTACGGGTGATGTACGATTGCAGCAGTGGCGTCGCTGCATCTCTGGTTCAGGAGTACGATCAGTGGCTCTGAGTTCGCCTGGCGTTAAAGGTGACCACGCGCAAACACGAAATACAGCCCCAAAAGAGCAACTCTGCAGTCTATAATTTGTTCTTTGTACAAGTAGGAAAGGCCCGTAGACATTGGGTGTAAAAAGTATCAAAAGCTAGAGTTAGTTCTCTGGGCTGCAGCTAGATGAAAATATAGACTGATAATGTAGATATAGACTGTATTGTTGTTCAAATAAAGTAAGTACATTTAAAGAGACAAATATGTGGTGTAAAGCATGTGAATCCCTGTCCCAAGACAAATGTATCCTATGGGAGACAATAAAGGAGTATCTTTTTCTTATTTCAATTTGATTTTTTATTGTATTGATTTTGCATGTAACCAGGGACAGAAGATGGAAATGATCCGTGTGGCTTTAGTTTGTCGCAGAACATATTCAACTGTCTTATGTTCCTGTGCACTGTCTTTCAAATAAAGACTAAACAAAACTAAACTTAAAGTAAAATAATCCCAGCATTATTTTTATGTGTCCATTTAAGGAAGGCATGTTGCGGTACACCCAAATATGTGTGACCACATTTGTGTTGTATCATTATAGTATTACATAGAAATAATAACGAGACTGTAGAGGAGCTGAGGAGCTCCTTAGTGGAAGACTGAGACACCCTCAGTGCCATAAGGAGCGCTACCGTAGGGCCTTCATCCCCACCGCTGTCAGACTGTACAATAAGTCACTTTAATGACCTACAATAGAACAAAAAAACTTGCACAAAAGAGAACATATATTAACCTTCTAACATTTTTGCACACTCCCTGTCTTTTGGCACAATCTGAGTGATTCTATCTATGTCAAAAAGTGACATGTACATTTCTACATTGATCAATAGAGATTATCTTATCTTAATGGTAGGAACTGTTGTCATTCTCCTTTGTAGTAGAGGGGGCGCATTGACGGTGACACCTCAGACACAATCTGAAAGTGAAACTAGTGTGACATTAATTTTTTTCTGAGATTCTTCCTTTATTTTACAGATAATTGTCTGTATTTTCTGATAATGTTGTCGCAACTAGTTTGGGACCCTTAAAAACCCGTAAAAAAAACAATGCAACTCATAAGTAATCACAAAACATTGAAAAGAGTGTAGATACAATAATTCAGTTGTATGTACAGGGAGACAAAACTGTTTAAAAAGCAGTTTGGTTAGTGTGAGAAGAAAAGCTTTGTCCATGAGCACTTCCCTATTGGGCTTCATTGAGCTGGGAGCGTTAGCAATGTCCATCTATTTACTCTTAATGATTAAAGTCTACGCAAGGTTCAACTCACTCTTTTTCCACTTTATTGATTGATCGATTTGAGTGATCACATGTGATTATGTGATCAAAGGGGAGGGTATTAGTATTAGATAGCAATATGGCCTACGTGCAGGACTGTACAAGGACTCTACAAGGACTCCATGTTATGACTATGATGTGACTGTCTCTTTGTGACACGTATGTCTTTCGATGTGTGACGTGACAATGACTATATAAACTGTGTACTGCCTTTATTCTGTCTGAGAGAAAGAAACAGAGTAAACAGTGGAACTTAAATAAACTTCCAGAGTTTGGCACACCACGATCCGTCTCTGTCTGATAAATCCTAACAGGATCACAAATAGCCACGTAGCGGTCAACAGAGATGAGAACCACGGTTCCCACTGATGACATTATTGCAGTGACAGGCCCAAAATAGACCAAGCCACATAGAATTTCGCCAAAATACCAGCACAGTTTCCATATTGTGGCAAAAATCGGTATGACCACGAGGCCGATGAGAAAGTCAGAGATGGCAAGTGAGAGGAGAATGAGGTTTGTGGTGGTGTGGAGTTGCCTGCAAAAAGAACATTATTTATTTTTAGTGAAGGGAGAGTGTACAGAGACGCAAGCACTTTTTCAGTGCAGAAGTAAAAATATTGTAACTTGTTTGATTTTTGAGTTCAGTTGGGAGATTATTCAAGTTTGTATTGCTTTATATGAAAACGCTGATTGTGTTAATGCAGTATCACACCCTGCCCGCGAGAAGAGGAGCGTGTAGATAAGAGATCCTTTATTCGTACCACAGTTGGGAAATTTCAATGTTACAGTACATTACAACTCGACCTATATGTTGCAGCGCACATGTAGGTCGAGTTGTT